TGTAATACAAGGGACATCTGGATCACACGAGGCGAAGAATGCCGATTGGGGAAATGATTCATGTAATGCCTGTACCATGATTCCAATCATGCGGCCGAATGAAGCCCCCACAGCCATCGAAGGCACGAAGATACCGGCTGGCACCTTGCACCCGTAGGAAATAATAACTAACACAGTGCGAAGGACAGTCGCAATAGCTAGCGAGAAGACCATCGACCATCTGTTCTTGGACCTGCAATGAGTTAGTGGTGTTCTTTCATGCATATGGAGGCGAATAATCATACTCGCATAGTCCATGATAGTCATGGCCACCCTCGCATTCGCGGAATAAGATCTCCATCATTGCGGTCATGTTGATCTTCAGAAACATGTTGGGGTAGCACAGTACTGCAGTAAGTCCCGCGAGAACAACCGACTCGGTTATAGGCCACTGTGAGAGGTATTTCTTGCGGAACGCGGCCATTCGAAGGTTCCATTTCATTACAAATGCACCGTAAAGTCCACCGAAGACGCCAAGACCAATAAAGAAGATGAACTCGAAAAAGTGCCATGTGCGATCATATTCCACTTGGAACATGACCAATTGACCAGTCCGGAAAGGATTGACAGCCTAGAATGGATCAGGTGTGGTCCAGACTCAATTGACAATATGGGAAACGTACCGCTAGCACACTGGTTGCCACCAAGGCACAGAAATAGCTGCGCCAAAGAGTCTTGAGGGGAAAATAGTTTGCCATTTCCTATTGACTGTCAGCTTACGTCCTATCAACTAGTGCACGATTGAACTCACCTCCAGGGAGAAAAGCACGCCTCCAATTGGACTGCCAAAGGCGACAGCCACGCCAGCTGCCGCTGAGGCAGTCAAGATTTCTCTCGTTTTCGATGCATTTTGTTTGTATTTGCCGAAAAATCGTGATATCACGTTTCCGGTACACACAGCAAAATGCACGCTAGGCCCCTCTTTTCCAACAGACAAGCCCGACGCAATAGCTAGTGGAAGGGCAATTGACTTGATTAGGAGAGTCCATGCCCCTAGGAAGCCCTTCATGACGAAGCCGGCAATAATGCATTTGATCTCTGAGATACCAGAGCCTGCAGCGTACGGCGCAAATGATTTGACCAGGACTCCAGCGATAGATGAAAGTACCAACTGTCTTCCGAATTAGCCTATGAGTTCATAGTTTCTCGAGTACTAGCCGGGCACACGTCTTACCGCGCCAAAGAAATAGAAAACATAATTTAACAGCCACCACGAAGTCCAATTCTTCCACTCGGGGCAGCCTATTATGGAAAAAGTTAGTTTACAAGAAGCGCTGTAGAACCTCCCGAACATACCATTCTCGGCACCCCAGCAGCAGAAAGACTCATTAAGGTAGAATGCGGTAGTACAATGGCCCAGCTTAATATCAGAGAGCCATTCCGTGATGATATTGAGCACAGCCGAGTTTAATCCGATTGCCAAGCCCACAAGCGTAACAACAAGCCATGCCTGGCCTGCATCGTATGACTCGTACATTTTCCGTCTCCAGCCAAGGATGCCTTCCTGATCCCAGAATCCAGTGCCACTGCGCCGTTTCGCGCGTCGCCGTGACTGCTCATAGACTGCATCTTGGACCCAGTCTATTGTGGTAAAATCTTCATATCGCTTGATCCCACTAATCTCTTCTGGGATGGCGGGTGCTTCCTGGTTGTCGGAATCGCCTCGTCGGTCGACGGGGGAGGGAACAGAACGACTGGGTGGCATTCGCGGGCTGCGCCGCTCTCTTGAAACTGAAAGGGACCTATTAAAGGTCGTGGAGGGGCGTGTAGAGGTCATAACATTGGTCGAGGAGGTAGGGTCAGCATAGTCGATTTAGAGTTGACTCGATGATCTGTCTATGTCCCCGATGGACGCCGCGCTCTTTGATGTGAGAAGAGGAACTCTCGAATTCGAAGTCCGATCCCTCTAGGGTGCTTCTTTAACGCGCTATAGGCGACAATTCAGGGGACGAGGGTGAATGAAGCTCTTGAAAGTAGATGATGTGACAAAGCGAAGTCGCCAAGTACACTTGAGTCGATAACGGAGAGCCTCCTTAGATAACGCGGCCACGCGTTTCACTCGTTTCACTCTTCTCGACTCCACGCTCGCGCTCACTTGCTTTCACAACGGGAATATTTGACTGGAGCATGCTGCAAATTGTATAAATTTGTCCTGCCAATACTTTATCTCGCCAGAATCAATCATCATGGCTCCAAAGACTGTGGGAGAGCCGGATGAGATCACCGGACAGAGTGCACTTCCGAGTAAGTCCCAGACACAACTATTACTTTGGATTGACATACCAACACATTTCTATAGTTGCTCGAATTAAGAAGATCATTCAGTTGGATGAGGATATCGTGCAATGCTCGAACAACGCGACCTTCGTCATCGCAATGGCTACCGTATGCCGCGCCCTCTACCTAAATACCTCGAGAACACCGACTAATGCTAGATCTAGGAGATGTTCATCCAATATCTTGCCGAGCAAGGGCACAACGTGGTCAAATCGGAGCGAAAACCACGCAAGACCGTCCAGTATAAAGATCTCGGTTGGTTACGCCTATGCCTCGGTTAGCAAGAGGTCGGACAGCATGCTAACGTACAATAGCTTCGGCGGTATCACACACCGACAATCTAGAGTTCCTTTCCGACGTGATTCCCAAGACTACGACTTACAAACAATTCAAGGAGAAGAAGGCGAAGGATGCGGCGAATCAAGGCGCCATAGAGAAGGGCCAGCGTACTCTCAACGGTACAATTGCACCTCCGACACCAGCAAATGGCACAGTGATGGGAGATGCCACCCCACAAAAAGAAGATTCAAAGACATCATCTCCGTCGGTTTCTCGGCCTATGGTCCCTGTGAGTGCGTTGATTGCGGACCGGACAGTCGAGCCCATGGCAACCCATGACCAGGATGTGGAAATGCAAGATTGATTGCGCTACATTATCCTTTTTTCTTGAATCTTGTTGTTTGCATTGGAGTTTTCTAATGATGGGTTTCCCTGCGCATTGGTTTTGGTCGCATTGGGTCGGGTTAGATATAACAAAAGAAAATGTGATAATATACAATTGACGAGTCAAATTTCAGCAGAAACATGAATAATTAATCAATATCAATTCACAGAATACATTAGATATGAATTCAAGTAGTATAGAAGTTGTAGAATGTTTTCTTGTCAAGGGAGTGAACGGGAACCGGTCAGCCAATGACAGGCCCCGTGATTCCGATCGCTAGCGAAAGCTCTGGCTCCAACTTCAACTTCCGACTTCATCCACCCTCTATCCTCACCTCGCTCTCCACAACTCGCGGCACAATTCCCCTCCGTGGTCAATTGCCCTCACAATGTCGCTCTCCTCCGCTTCCAGCACTCTGCTGCGCACCGTCGCTCGGCAGCAGCTACCCATCTCCCGCGCCGCCGTTACCTCCTGCCAGCAGCGGAGGGGAGTCGCCGATTCGAAGTCGTCTTTCGAATCCCCCTTCGCCAGTGCTAACGAACCCGGCTCGACCCTGAAGATCCCCAACTTCAGCAAGTACAAGTCCAACAACTCGCCCCGCACCAACCAGGTCTTTTCCTACTTCATGGCCGGCACCCTCGGTCTGGCGACCGCTGTCGGTGCCAAGGCTACTGTTCAGGGTAGGTTTTTGTGGAATCTTCGAATCAGAAAGAGATGGCATGGAATACAGTAATTGAACAATATTCTTGAATAATTGGGGAAATTTGGGCGACTTTGAACAAACGACTGATGTTATTCTTTCTCTCCAGATTTCCTGGTCAACATGTCCGCCTCCGCCGATGTCCTGGCCCAGGCTAAGGTCGAGATCTCTCTCGGTGCCATCCCTGAGGGCAAGAACGTACGTGTTTCTATTCACCACCTCATCCGACAGATCCCATTACCCAGGATCCCTATCTAACATCCATTCCAACAGGTCATCATCAAGTGGCGTGGTAAGCCCGTCTTCATCCGTCACCGCACCCAGGCCGAGATCGATGAGGCCCGTTCAACCAATTGGGAGACTCTCCGTGACCCCCAGCCCGATGAGGACCGCGTCCAGCGTCCCGAGTGGCTCGTCATGCTCGGTAAGTGAACATGGGATTGGCGAACAACAACTCGCAACTTTCTAACTTTCCTTCCTCCCTACAGGTGTCTGCACCCACTTGGGTTGTGTCCCCATCGGCGAGGCCGGTGACTACGGCGGCTGGTTCTGCCCCTGCCACGGTTCCCACTACGATATCTCCGGCCGTATTCGGAGGGGCCCTGCCCCTCTGAACTTGGAGGTTCCCACCTACAGCTTCCCCGAGGATGAGACCCTGATTATCGGATAGGCGAATTTTTGAATACACCCTTTTTTGATCGCCGCCAACGGGCGAGTCTCATTAAAAGTGTGGATGATATAAGATGGACGGATTGTATGTCCTATCTATCTGTGTATGTGCTTGTGTGTGTGTGTGTGTGTTTTCTTCCCTTTTTTAGACAGAGCGGCCGTGTGTCTTGTCAAGATTAAGAGACCTGTGTTTTAATATGGACAAAAAATGAGCCTCTTCCTTCCTTTGTCCGTATCTTCCTGGATCTTGATCTTTCTCCATGGCAAACACACGAGCTCGGGAGTTCAGAGGATGTCCGATGGTCTCCTTGAGTACATATGTTCTTTATTTAGTGTATCACCTAGTCATGTTATTTCCTTTGTTCAACGCTTGCTTGGTTCTCTTATGAAAGCAACAAATAACGTCAATGCTTCGCTATTTTGATATATGGTCGCTTTCCAGGCCAGAATTCTCAAATAGTAGTTATACACTAAATTCAATTCCCGGGTTATATCCAACTGTTTATCTATTTTTCTCAATTGTATGTACAAGTATATAACCACCCAACAAAATGCCAAGTCATTATCAAAATGCCAAGACCAAACATGAGCGAAACATGGTGCGCTCTCGCTGGTAATGCAATTATAACATGCTCGAATGAAATGATTTTTTCACCGAGATCCGATCAGGGCGAACAGTAGGCCCGTCACAGCTGCACCAGCTGCGGCACTCTGAAGAGCCACGGCGGTGAGATCGTATTGGGAGACAGCAATGCTGCGATCACTGAAGAACTCGCTAGCCACCTGCCTCCAGTACTCGACTGACAGAACCGGCAACGTAATGTTCGAGAGACGGGTCTTGAGAGACTGGGCGGCAGTAGCGTCGGTCACCGAGACAATGGACCCCGTAGTGGACGCATCTTTCTCCGTCGTGGTAATCTTCGGTTCAATCAAAAGAGAAGGAGCAGTCTCAATTATGTTCTCGTCGGTAGAATCAATAATTTCGGGGAGGATAGTGACATTCGACCGCGGCGTGATCGAAACAGCGTTCTCGGTAAACATAGCCCGGTTCAGGGCCTTCTCCTTCTCCAACGCTTCAACGACCTTATCCTCGAAACCCTGGACGAGTCGCTTGCGACGCCACGGCTCCACGAGGATCTGGAAAATAAGGAATAATAGGACGTTCATGCCCATCAAACCCCAAGTTCCCCATGTCGACATGCGGCGGATCTTGTCGGACCAGACTTGCTCCTCGTGGTATCGCGAGAGGATGCTCTTGCTCATTTGTGCGGCAGCCTCTTCAGCTTCGCGCTCTGCGGCCGATAGAGCGTGGGAGGTCTCGGTCTCGGCGACCTCGTTCGTGTGATCATTGCGGTAGAGGAGGGTGAATCGCTCCAGGTCTGTTGAGGACCAGGCGTGCTTGCGTTGGAGGAGCTCGTTTACTTCGCGTTGGGAAGTCGATCGGCGATTAATCGCTGCGGCGTAGTCTTCTTTCGCTTGCTTGACATTCGCTCGGGCAGTGCGGAGTCGGTTCTCTGCATGATTTCGTGGGATTAGTCTTAGGTTTCGCGGGGTCGGGTTCGGGCATTGCTATGGTACATACCATAGAACTGGATATCTTTTTTCAATGCTTCGATGCTGGAGTATCCAGTCAGGTCATTTAAACGCTGACCTGCTACAAAAACATTGGATTGCAAATTGTCCATCACTGTGCTGAATTGCTTGGACCATTTTGACCGACGGCTTTCCAGATACGATGGCAGGCCTCCACTCCTCGTGCCAACACTGGCATCTTCTTCCTGTGAAACTGACTTCTCTTTTTCATGCTCCTTTGTTTGTGGTTTCGATTGTGCGGCACTCTGTTCGTCCTCCGCAGGAGGTACTGAATCAAGTGAGCTGCCCGACTCCAGACCCGGGATCGGGACAGGGTCGCGCGAGGCGAGCTCCAGCTCGGCTAGTTCTTTCTCTTTTTCCCTGATTAACCTCTCTGTATCCGCGGAGAACTTCTCTCGGTCATTGAGGGCCAAATATGTGCTCGGCTGCCGGCGGAATTGGCATTGTACACAGGCGGAGAAGCTCCGCGGAGTCGGTCTGACGGAGAATGCAGGTCGGAAGTGCGCTCGCACTGGGGAGGGGCTTGTGAGTCGGAGACTTGATCGGAGTGATTGCCTAAGCAGCTGTGGCATAGACTGCATGGCCAAAACAAAGGCCACAGGCTTGTGGCAGGAAGTGGTGGTGGTGTAAAGAGTGTCTAGGTGAGGATCAATTCGGGACGGAACTTGGCCTCGGATAGGCTTATCAGATTGCTGTAGGTCATTGTAGCAATTTTCTATGAATACAGCCTTGGAATGTTTTAATTATGTACTATATAGTTGGCCAATCGCATTTAATGTTCCGATTAATTAGTGAAACGGGCTTTACAGGGTTACCCCTCTACCGAGAGACATCCATAGCTCCGATTGCCTACCTCGTCAATCCATTGCACCGACGATCCCTTTTCCTCGAGGCTTTATCAAGTCTAAACCCATATCGAGCCCATCGTTAACCATAACAGCAGTCCGTCTTTCCAATATACGCCTTATGATCATAATGTCCTGCATAGTTGACCTTGGCGTCAATATGAACACCCGAGTCGCTAAAACCTGAAGCTATCAGTATTTTCGACCATATGCGGAGGAAATATACATAGGAATGGTATGAATCAGCATGAGTTTGTAAAACGTTATCCAAAGAAATATGAACTACCTGGCTATAAAGGCATAAATCCTTTGTCAAGCGACTTTCTAGAGTTTGTTTAATACTCATCTCGTGCTCTGGACAATGTTACTTACCATCAATATTCAGTATCTCGTCCTTCTTTTTCTTTTGACATCTTCGCTTATTGATACTCCTATATATCATGTCATCTCTCGTTCTTAGCCGTACCCTGACAGGCATCTATATCATCTTATGGGACCTCGCGCTGAGACGTCAAGCCTATTTTGGGCCCCTTCAGTCTTACTTCACATCATATATTCTTAGCCCAGTGCACATCCCTCATACCACTATACCTATCACTGTGTCGTTCTATAGTGGATATAAGTCGACTTTACGGCTGCGTACCTCAACACCGAGACGGTCTATATACGCCAACCCTCAAGTTTCGAATATTTTGACGCCGAAGGCAGACACTCTTTGGGTCTTTGGACTTCGAGACACCGTATACCTCTAGAAATGGATAGCATCGGGTTCCGACCTCTCGGGGGCGATCCTTATATCTAAATCAAAACAGGCGACAATTGCATGGACTTGACTAGGTATCATGATGATACACGTTGATCATCGCTGCACCCACTGAAAAGGAAATCGACCAGGTCGTTGACTAACTACTGCAGCACTACGACATGAATGAGCTAGGATAACCTAAAAAGTATTTGAACTGCGCTCTGTCTTCCGCGACTACGAAGCAGGCACAATCACTATGTCCCAGGGTTACACGCCAGCTCGTAAGAATCTGAAATATAGCGTGGCTGGAAGGATCAATGCGAATCGCATCGGCAGGGCTGGCCCATACCGGAGCTTCTCAATGACGAAGTGCTGATGTTTTTGATGCCGTCAGCTCGATCATCAACGGTCCTCTATTTGACCAACCATCTAGTCCCCGAACGCAAAGGCAAAGAACATGCTTTGTATCTGGTATATCAATATTTGCATCATGAAGAACGCCTGGCCGATTCTATCGGAACAGCTCACTAAGGCCCAGCAACAAGAAGCCCTCAGTTCACCGCCTCCCTGGCTTCTCAACGCAACACAAAGTCCCAGAAAGCAAAGGAATTACGCGAGAAGGTTGACAGTTTCACTGAGAGATGGACAGCCTTCCAGGACCGATACGCTGATCCAATCTTCCAATCCATTCTGGGGTATATACAATATGAGTGGCTATACGAGTGCCCAGAGAAGTTCCTACACATCCATACCTCACAATACCTTCATCTCAATAAGATAGCCACCTCCCGAAATGAGAGCACCCACTGGCTACTAAAGCAGGATCTCATTGTATCCACTAACGATTTGCCAATGCGTGGTAGAAGCTCAAATCAAGAAGATCTATATTAAGATTGAGAATAATACCTACAAGATAGGAGTTATCAAACCAAAAGCCCAGTTAGTACTAAGTGCCTCCGAGGTAAGGATAAAAAGTACTGGTATAGTATCCCGCAAATAACATATAATCAAAGAAGATACGCAAGCAATGAACAAAATCAAAAGTCAGAATTACATAGAACGTTCCTTCGTCAAAGTCATAACATAACGATGCAGTTCTCAAGAAGTGCGTGTACAAAAACAGTGAAGCGAAAGGGTATGGACAACACAACCGGGTCGGGAAATAGGTGACCGATGAGACGATGGGAAGCCGAGGACGCCACCCAAGCAAAGCCAACGAGTCAGTGCTCACTCTCGTTCATTGCTCTGCAGCTTATTGTCACCCTTCACAGCCTCAGCATAAGTCGGTGGTGGGGGCGCACTGCTGCTCCCAGCATTTCCACTTGCTTCAGTCTGGTTGTGTGGTTTGTTCGCCGGACCAGGCGCCTGCTGGTCTTGAGTGTCGACTGTGCCATATCCGCGCTGGGGCTGTCGTGAGACGTAGTAGTAGGTAACGTTTCCGTTCTCCAGATCGCGCCGCCGACTCCCGCCTCCGGGGATGGGCTCGTAGGCTACATCGTCGTCGTATTGCTCCGGGTACTTGAGGATGATGTACCACGCGTGGATGAGACCCGGGAAGAAGCAGAGTAGGGTGAGAGTTATGTTGATGAACGAGTCTGCACTGCAGAACCCGGCCTTGACCCAGACTGTTGATGCGGGGGTTTGGTTAGCATTGGACCAAGTGTAGGTGTGTTGGCGTGCGGGTCTGCGGGTTTAAAAGTTACCTGCAATAGGTGGGAAAAAGACGGCGAGTACCGCTAGGAAAAGGTCGGAGCTGCACATGGCTCGCAGGGTCTCTGAGATCTGATAGAAAGTGTGAGTTGTTATCGAGTACACTGGGAATGTGTTGGCAATGGTTAAAGGTTTTCCACCGACGAGTCGCAGATTGTCTGACGGCAGCCTCCAGATCAGATGATGTCAATGGTCACATGACCTCTGTAATTCGTTGCCCTACATTGTACTCCGCCTGACTTTAGATGATATGATATACACTTCCCTCTACTTGAAAGTAAGGTATAGGTATATTTACTAACTGTCTATAGGAACAGACTTGTCATATAACTATCTGCCCAAGCGGGGGGGCATTGATTAACACATAGGTTGTACGGAGTACTATGCTTGTAAGTACCTGGTACATGCAACTGCCGGCTACTTACTGCTTGTTATTGGGTACCCTGTACTCCATATTCCGTACCAAGTCCAATTCGGTCCCTCGCATCCTCAGCCGATAGCTCACATACAACGTTGAAATGTGCTACATCTATTGCCAAATTGTGTGCATGATGCAAGGGAAATTCGGGAAATTAATATTAAGCTCCGGACCCTGGTCATAGTATTCTCGAGGCGATAGTGATCGTCTTGTCTAAGCCGCTAACGGGTCACTAGCGAGGCTGGTGATGAACAGAGCAACCGGTCAGAAATTGACAGCAGACATTGCCAATTATAGTTGACTCTAAGATAACCGTTGTCATTGTGTTTAGTATTAGTACACCATATGTCGTACGTCTGTAGAATTTTAGTCCCAATTGCGTTTTGATACCCAAAAAGAGTCCACAGAATAAAGAGAAAGGTAAACAACACGGCACAACTTCCTTTCCCCCCCACCCCCTTTTATCAATTGTCTTCTATACTGCGTCCAACCCGTCTCCATGGAGTACACAGAGTGTAGCCAATATTGAGTTTAGCGTGCCTGAATCTGTACAGCCGATTATGCCTGTTCTCCGTGTTTCATAATTGCCCTTTTTCCCAGCTCATCCCCTTGTTACCCACAAGCCCAGACCATCTTGAAGGTCTAACCTTGTCTTTCCAATCTTAGAACTTCGTCTTGTCATCTCTTTCTCTCATTTCAAATTTAGGCCTACGGGGCTCGGTTGACCTTTCCTTCCGGGCATTGAGAACCCCGAGTCACTCGTTTACCTTTCACGCGTTTTTCTTCTTCTCGAGCTCGAGACAGTTCCGACCTGGGGTCGAACAATTTATTCAATTCTCCCAATTCGAATATCCGTGCGATTCGCGACAACGCCTGGAACATTCTCGATCGCAATTGACACATTCCGCGTCGATAACCCAAAGGGGTCTATTTGAGACCAGACCGCCGATTCTGCCCGGCATGTCGAGCTCTTGCATTTCCCTCTCGGGGTCAAGTGCCTGTCCTGCCTGGGATAGCTCGTCCATTTCAACCAGTTCCAGTCTATATGCGGACTTGTGAGTGGAAACGCGCGCATGAAAAAAAAAAAGAACAATTGCTGACAGTGTGCTGCTAGCCCTTTCCTTAAAGGTGTGTCGAATCTGACGGATTTCGATAATTCATTAAAGGACTATGTCCTTGGGTCATATGTTTCGATGAAGTATGTGCTGCCACCAATGGACCGGGAGAAGAGTCACTAACAGGAGCTCCCAGATATGTTGACTTACTGGGATGCCAGGGCATCAATTCAAGTGCCCCCAATAACTACTATGCCCAGTATACAACCAGTGTTTTGTGCAGCAGTGTCGTGCAAAGCTCCATATCCGACTGCAAACTTTCCACAAACGACTCGATACCAATTTGCGTCGACACATGCGCACTTTGGGCCCGGAGTGAACAGGAGACCATGGCAAATACAGACTTATGCGCCACGAGCGACAAGAACTACACGGACCTAATCTATGCCGAGTTGACCATCTGCGAAAAACCATCCGACGCCCTTTCTGGAGATTGTGTCAAAGGAGCTGCGAATGAGCCTGACAACTGTGGCTTTGCGACAAATACCATTGGTCTCTGCACATTTTGCGCGAATGGCACCGATAGTTGCTGTACGAAATCCAATGCCACGAGTCGCTGTGACGGTGTCTCAGTACCGACTGTTACTCTACCCCCTCTTACGCCCTCACCTTCCGCCGTCGCAGATTCTAGCCATGGCTTGTCGGGCGGCGCAATTGCTGGGATCGTAGTTGGCTCCGTCGTGGGAGCCGCCATTCTAGGTGCTCTCCTCGCCTTTTGTATTCTCACGCGCCGCCGCCGTCGTGAGAC